CCCCCCGACATAATTTGCTCGCGCATCATCCACCAGGTCCTGGAGGGCACCCCCCAGTTTGGGGGCCAGACCTACTCCACAACGCAGGCCAGCCAGCAGTGGGGGGTCCGGGACGTGCCCACGCCGCGGCAGCTGGTGGCGCAGCTGGACCAATGGGTTGTCGGCCAGGCGGGCGCCAAGAAGGTGCGGGCCGTTTCCCTGGACCCCCCCCCCTGCCACCTGCCATTCGTTCGCGTGCTCCAGGGGTGGTTGGCGGGCGAGAGGGGTCTGACTATTTGCGCGGCGCACGCGCTGGTACAGTTGCACGAGGAAGGGGTTCGGCGAGTGCCGGGCCCCTGCTTGCGAGTGCAGTCCAGGGGTCGGCCGTCGGCCGTCGCGCCGCCAGCTGGCAGCTGGGACGCCTGGCGTGCTTTCCTCTCCCTCTGCCCTCATTTGTTCAACCCCCACCCCATCTCGGTCCCCATCCTTTGCCCCTGCCACGACCCCGCTGCATATCAACACCCTCGGTCACCCCTGAAACCCTGACTCCGTGCCTCCGACGCAGCAGGCATAGCCCCCCTTCCCCGCCCCCCAAGCTAATGCCTGCACCACCCTTCACCCTTCCCTCGGCACGCGCGCTAGACCCTTGCAGTGGCTGTGTACAATCATTTCCGGCGGCTGCAGAACAAGAAGCAGCTCCTGCAGCGCCCGCAGCAGCAGGCCGGCGCGGCGGGCGGCCCCATGGTGCGGCGTGCGCCGCGAGGCGCGCGGGCCAGGTTTGGGCAGCGGCGAGCGCCCGCGCGCGCATGTTGGGGCCAGTGCTCGCATGGCGTGCGCCGATACATGTTCTCTCGCAGCAGTTGCTCATCAAATTGCTTGATGCTCGGTTTCTCAAATTCTGCATCGTGCGACCCTGGCAAAACTTTTGGCCTCGGAACTCGTCCTGTGCCCAGGACCCCCAGGCGGGCCGCGTGGGGTTGATGGATGCCCTTCCCACAGAGCGCGGCGGCGCGGGCAGCCTCTCCGCCGGCAGCGCGGCGAGCGGCGGCGGCGGCGGGGACGCGGCGGCGGTGGCGGCGGCGCACGAGGAGTTTCTGGAGGTCGAGAAGAGCAACATGGTGATGCTGGTGAGTGATCTGGGCCGATCTGATCCGATCTGGTCTGATCTGGCCGTGACGCAGCGTCGACGCATCGGTCCAGGCCGCGGGTGTGGGCGCGGGCGGCTCCCGCGGTCCCTCCTGCGCTGGGCTGTCGGCCGCCTCATCGCCATTCCCGGCTCCTGTCTCCCCTTGCGCAACCCCCTTGCCCGCGCCGCCCCCGCCCCCAGGGCCCCACCGGCAGCGGCAAGACGCTGCTGGCCAAGACCCTGGCGCGGCTGGTGAACGTGCCCTTCGCCATGGCGGACGCCACGACGCTCACACAGGTGCGTCGGGGCGCCACGCGCCAACAGATAAGATCGGCGGGCGGGGTGGGCGGTCATTGCGCGGGGGCCGGGCGGCAGCCAAGGCGTGTGTGTGGCAGCCCGCCTGCGCCTTATGCCACCAGGCCGCCCGCCCTTCTGGCTGATGCTACCATGCATCCCTATTGACCACCCACATCATGGCCTGGCGCGCCCATCCCTAAACCATCCAGGCGGGCTATGTGGGCGATGACGTGGAGTCGATCATCTACAAGCTGCTGCAGGTCGGGGCCCAGGCTCCCGCTAGTGTTGAGGGCACGGGCAGGGATGAGGGTTTCAAGGTTGGGACGCTAGCGCCTGCTGCAACAGCCAGGGGGTCTGTTGGGGTCGGCACGGGCAGCCGAGCGGCGAGGGCGCAGGCTGCGGGCAGCCCGGCGGCCCTTCTCTGCATGAGCCTCCCAAATGCTGGGTTTTTTCAACGGAATTGTTTTTCTTCACCTGAAACCAACACACAACACAACTCTGCGCCGTTGTGCACCAAACCTCAGCAACCCCTGAAACCTGCGCCCCAGGCCGCCAACTTCAACGTGGAGGTGGCGCAGCACGGCATCGTGTACATCGACGAGATCGACAAGATCGCCAAGAAGAGCGCAGAGGGTGGGCGCGGGGGGGCTTCATTCTGTGGCCCGTGTATTGTATGCAGGGCAGGGCCTTTTTGTTCGCACATCCCTGGCAACTTGAGGACCCCCCCGAGGCTGGTGATGGGTGGTCGCCTGTGGTCAGGGATGGGGTTGCAAATTTCTGACGCCGCCCACGCGCGAAAGGTCCCAGTGCTGGTGGCGGTCAAGGTGGTTGAGTGGGTGCTGCGATTGCAAGTTGATGGGACGCGCGCGTGTGACAGGCAGCGGGGCCTTACAGACACGGCCCTTGGAGTCGTTTCATCTAGCATGGGGGGAAGAGTTCTTGTTTGTGAGCGGGGCGGCAGGCATGGCAGAGACGAATTGCAGCTGGGAGGAGAGCACTGGAGGTGACGGGACATGTCAATTTGGCTGCAATGGGGTTGTCACAAACAGTCATGTGCGCATCGTGCATTTCGTCCGGTCTCGTGGGGCACCCTCTGGCTCTGCCTGTCTCTCATGCGTGCCCTCACTCCCCCCTCCCCCCCAGGCGTGACCATCACGCGTGACGTCAGCGGGGAGGGCGTGCAGCAGGCCCTGCTCAAGATGCTGGAGGGCACGCAGGTGATGCCCACTGCAGCCCGGCTGAGCCGGCGCACAAAAAATTAGCCTCCAAATCTCACTCCAGAAAACGCACGGCACCTGCGCAGCAGCCTCTACCCGGTCTTTGCTGATTCGTCGCAGAGTGATGATGAGCTGGGCTCGGGCGGCCGCCGCTGCAGTCGACTGCCAAAGCTCAAGGCATTCATGGTGGGTTTAGCAGCACTGCGCGCACCCCTAACCGCACACCTGGATGCATCCTCCATCCAGGTCAACGTGCCGGAGAAGGGCGGCCGCAAAAACCCCCGCGGGGAGTTCATCACGGTGGGTTTTTTGAATGGCTTTGGAAGGCAGGGGGCAAAGGGGCGAGGGGACGATAGGGGTGGGCGGTGCGAGACCCGCTCATGGGCTGGTAGAAACTGCTTTGGGAACCAGCCATCAAGCCAGCCGGGCCAACTTCTCATCTGTAGCTGCCAGCCTGCTCTTCCCCACCCTCGGAGCGCCCCCTGCGTTTGGCCTTCTGGCCAGCTGCTCGCTCGACGCCCTTCCTCATCACACCACCCGCCCACCCTGCGTCGTGGCCGTGGCCGACGCCCCCCAAGGTCGACACCAAAGACATCCTGTTCATAGTGGGGGGCGCCTTCATCGACCTGGAGCGCCAGCTCATGGAGAGCAGGCACCAGGCGTCCATCGGCTTCGGCAGCAAGGTGGGCCGGCATCACTCGCACGGGGCCCGGGGTGAACGACGTGTCATTCGCCACTGGCTGGATGGGACATTTGCGGGCGTCGTGTCCCCAAATATTGGTGCAGCTCAATCGGGCGCCCAGGACAACGAGGGTCCTCCTCCTGCGTGCCAAACCGCTCGCCCAACCCCTCAGGTGCGCGCCGCCAGCATGGGGCGCCACGGCGGCCCCCGCATCGCGTCGGCCATCCTGCGCCAGGTGGGTTGGCATTATGACGAGGTCTCCCTTCCTAAGCACCGCGTGCAGCAAAGTTGCGGCCTGTGCCAAAACGGCACCTGCAGCCAACAGAGCGCTGTGGGCACTGTGCTGCCAGCGCAGCCCCAGCAGCCTTTCGCTTTTATGCACAGGGAAATCACCAACCGCCCTGTCACTTTTTTTCAACACCAGCCTCAAATGGTTCTGCAATCTACTTATCTGGGAACCGTAGGTGGAGCACTCTGACCTGATCCACTACGGCCTCATCCCCGAGTTTGTGGGCCGCCTGCCCATCATCTCCGTGCTGCAGGCAAGCGCGCGTCAGCACGTCGGCAGCTAGGGTTTCCCTCAGGGCCACTGGGCAGTGTATGGGCATGCGCAGGCTGAAGCAGCGTGGAAGCGGTCGCGCACGCAGTGGTTTGAGCCAGGGACGCGCACCTGTATCGTGTGGTTAGCCAGCCCCGCGCACACACTCAGGCATGCGTGCATGTCTCCCTCCCTCACCCCTGCTTCGGCTTGCTTCATATCTCTATTTCTCCCCCCACACACACACGCGTGCACACACACTCTCACACATACACACACACACACGCACACACACACACACCCTGTAGGAGCTTAACGAGGACGAGCTGGTGCGCGTGCTGTCGGAGCCGCGCAACGCGCTCATCAAGCAGGTGGGGCTCGCAGCCACCCTCCAGGGCGCCCAGGGTCCGGGCTGCTTCGGTCGGCTCGGGCCCAAGGCGTGCATGTTCCTGTTATCATAGCGCCATAACAAGGCGCTTCCTTGTAGCTTCTTCTGTCCTCATCCGCAGCCTTGCACAGTTGGTGCAAAGATCATTCTCAAATCGCCTCCATCCTACAAATTCTTCTGAACGACCAACTATCCTCTGCCCCTGTTGACATGACCGCAGTATCAGCAGCTGTTCAGGCTCAGCGGCGCCCGCTTCACGGTCACGCCTGCCGGCGTCCGCGCCATCGCGCGCCGCGCGCTCTCCCGCGGCACCGGCACGCGCTCCCTCCGCTCTATAATGGAGTCCCTGCTGCAGGGCGCGATGTACGAGGTTGCGGATCACGCGCCCGGCGCAACCTCGGACGGCAAGGCGGGGGCCTCGGGCCTGCGGAAGCTGGTGGTGCTGGACGAGGACGGGGTCGTCCAAGGGACGGGCGCGCGCATCGTTGAGGGGGACGAGGTTGAGCAGATCAAGGGGACCGTGGGCGATGATGACAGCGAGATTGCAGCTGAGGTGCGGTGAGGCGCCGGCCGGCCTGCCGCGGGTGACCCAGCTGCGAGAGGGTGGCGCCCCGCGTCACGCGCACGCCCGGCCGCGCGCCGTCGCCGGTGGGCGGGCGCTTTCTCGGCGGCAGGGCGCTGTTTGCATCTCGATAGCTCCAAGGGTTGCGGCGGCGGCGTGTCTTTGGACGTTCTTTGTTCCTTTCCATTTTTGGCAAAAGCTGGCCCACGGGCCGTTGACTGAGTTGATGGCCCCACATTCCCTTTTCAGGGGCACAACTAGGTCTTCAGTCTATTTGCCGTTTCTAGCATGTACAACAACCCATGAGTCGCAATTCGTGTACCAAACCTTGCGTTTTGCTGCACGCTCCTCCGACAAAGGCTGCTGCCGTGAAAGCTCGGCCTGCGCCGCCTGCCCGCCGCGCTGCCGTCCGCACCTCGCGGCGGCTGGTGTCTGCCGGGGCCCGCGCCGGCCCGCTCGCCCTGCACGCAGCTGAAGCGTGGTGCCGCGGGCGCGGCTGTTGTGCCTGTCTCAATCTTTGTACGTGTCCCGCGTGTTTTTTGGGTTCCTGGAGTGGTGTCGTGCCTAGCCCGTGCACTGCAGCAGGACACCGCGGTCCCGCTTGCACGCGCCGGCTTTGCATGGCACGCGCACAGGCGTCTGTGCTTGCACAACGCGGCTGCCGCCCCGCCGCTGTGCCTCACACGCGCACGTCTGCTGTACCCACCGTTTACGCCAGCTTGGCTGCTGCCGCGGCGCGTGGCTCGGGGCGCGACCGACCAACCCGTCTTTGACCGCGGCGGAACCTGTTTAAGCCTGCCAGCCACCTGAGGCTGGCAGCTGCTATTTGCAGACTCGACGGCCAGCTTTTCCGCAGCTGCACGCTCTGCTAAACCCGCTCCGTCCCACTGACAGCTGTGTACATCACGCTCTGCGCTAGGGTGCCCATCCCGAGCGCCCGCTGCTGCGCGACATATGTACCAGCACCGTGACGGCACTGCCTAGAGGATTGGTGTTGCGTTTTGGTGGCTGCGTGTGATGTGCTGCCGATCATCGCTGCATCAGGCGCACCCTCCTGCTCTTGTATCATACGTTGTCCCATTTGTACCGCGCGCTCTCGAGCACAGTAGGGTAGGCGCCATCTGTAAGATACGAATTGGTCGGCTTCATGGAAGTCAGTGGGCAGCTGCTCCAGGCAACAGGCTTGAGGCAACCAGTTAAGGTGTCCGAACAGCAGGTCCCCCAACCCCTGCTGACGTCAGATCCCGGAACTGCTTCAACCTGGGGGCAGCGGGTGGAGCGATGATTGCAATGCACCCGCTTGGCGTCTTGGATGGCACGCGGAACGGCTTGGTCGCACGATGAGGAGGTGGCGTGTGCCCGGGTGCCGGTCGTGCTTGCTGATTGGCAGCCCTGTCTTTGAAGGCAGCTGGGGCGAGCAAGCAGCTGTCTTCAGACTGTTACAAACGGTGTGCTGGCTGCTGGACCCTACCATGAGCCCCGGCAAAAACCCGTGCACGAGTCCGCCGCATGCTCAGGGGATGTGCGGCACTTGCGCAGGGAAAGGAGCGACCACAAGCAGCTGCTTAGCTACAGCACTGGCCTGCAGGCCAACGCGGAGCGTTCGACCAGATGTTCAATACCGCTTTTGAGTAGTAAAGGGCTACAGCATGCTAGGTAGTGGTGAGGGATGAGGCATGCAGTAAGTCGAAACCTGAGCAGCAGTGCAGTAGCCCGGCCGACCCCGAGTGACACGGGTGCGCTTTGCAGTCGGACCTGGCCTGGCTGTGTTCCACAATAGCAAGTGGTGGAGTGTTGGCGCCAGTGCACACGGCATTTCATAAGTGCGTCCAGAACTCAAGATGGGTCCGATACGAGAGGATGTCAGCTGAGCAGTAGTAATGTCATGCACCCGCGGCACCCACCTCGAGTGACACTGGTGCATACGGTTGGCAGTCAAACCTGGCCTGGCTTTGTCACACCACAGCGAGGTTTGGAATGTCAGCGCCAGTGCGTTCGGCATTTGACAAGATCGTCGAGGCCTCAAGATGGGGCCGATACAAGAGGAAGACGTGCACAACCTGCTGGATCAGGTCGAGTCGTACAGTGCCACCCTCCGCGAACCTCGCCAACCCCAGCCCAAGAAGGACTTCAATGTCGCTCTCGGGGAGCCCAGCGACGCGCTGTCGCCCGGCTTGCTGCAGCGCCTGCTGCGGGTGACGCGCGAGCTTGAGCTGCATCACCAGGCGCACCTGCTCATGCAAAGCCTCATGCCAGTCATCTACATGGAGCCAGAATGGCTGGAGCAGGTGGGGCCCCCGGATGGCGAACTTTGCAGCCGGCGCTCAGGCCCGCTGCGCCGCCCCGTCGCCAACACATCAGCCACGGCGTGTCACCCCAAGCACGACTAAGCCCCGGCACCCCGCCCCGCTCGGCGCCCCACCTGCAGCTGGCGACATTACCCGGCTACGGCGCAGCGCTCTCATATGTGCTGCGCAGGTGGGGCCATGACGGCCACATCAATTCTGACACGTGTCACCTGATCGCAGAGGTACTGCTCAAGCAGGCGCACGAGGGCGCAGCGCGCGCCTTTGCAGAGGGGCTACTGGAAGACCCGGATGCCCTCGCAAACGGCCTGCTGACGGCCGCGTTCCCTGGAGCGGACGGCGGGCCGGCGCCGCAGGGAGGGGCGCATATTCTCAGCGATGCGAGGGCCGTCTCATCGCTGGGGCGCGCGATGCAGCTGTGCGACGGCAGCCCGGCAGCCGCGCGGCTGGCTGCCCGCTGCGCGGCGTCGCCGAGCGCGGTCGCGCACGCGGCGCGGCTCGTGGTGCAGGGCAGCAGCAGCGGTGGCGGCAGCGCCACCGCAGGTGGCACCAGTGCGCACGTCCCCGCCGCCACATTGTCTCGGGCCGTTGCGTTCCTCCGCCACACCGTCGACAGGTGCGCCGGCGACGCGCAGGCCGACCTCTGTGCGCGGCTGTCCGCCACCCCGGGGTTCTGCGCGGCGGCCGGCGCCCTCCTCGCCGACCCGGCCCCTGCGCAGCGCAGGGCGGATTGCCTCGAGATTCTCCTGGCCATCCTCACTCGCCGGCCCTGCCAGCCGGCGATCGCCGCCGCCGCCGAAGCGGCGGATGCGCCCGGCGCGCTGCCCGCGCTCGTGCGGCTACTCGACAGCACTGAGCCGCTGGCGAGGTGCGGCGCGGCGGTCCTGCTGTACTCCGCTATGTCAGCATCTTCGGGCTGCAGGGCCGCTATGGGCCGCCCGCCGGCCGTCGCGGCTCTCGTGGCGCTGCTGCGGCGTGAAGGGGCCGGCGGCTGCGCGTGCGGGCCGCGTGCCATATGCATGACCTGCACCTGCGCGTGCAGCATTCTCGACAAGCTCGCCAGTCCCAGCAGCAGCGACTGGGCATGCACGTTGGCGCGGCTCCTGGCGTCGGCGCCGGCTGCCCTGGCAGCAATCTCGCGGCGAATCGACATGCAAGCACGGGCTGCTTCTGACGTTTTGCAGCTGGCGATGCTTGCCAGGCTGCTCTGCGCCGTAGTGTGCGAGCCGGGGCGGCAGGGGCGGCGCGACCTGTTGCGCAGTCTCGCCGCTGCGCCCTGCCTCATGGCGGCGGCCGGCCAGGCCCTGGAGGCCGTGCTCGCGCCCACCTCGCCCTTTCACCAGCACAGCCTGGGGCAGTTGCTGCGCGCATGCCTGGCGGCGTCACTCTGCTGCCTCGTTGGCGGCGCATCTGTGTTCAGCCCAGCAGCGGCCCGCGAAGCGACGACAGACGCAGGCGAGGCGGCGGCGACGGCGGCGGCGGCGGCCGCCGCCGTGCGGGCGGGGGCACCTGGGCTGGTGGTCGCGCTGCAGGGGAGGGCGCGGCGCGCACAGTCGCTGGCGCTGCCCCCATTGGAGGCTTCTCTGGCTTTTCCGTATTACATGCAGCCCGGGTTTGCTGCCACAGATGAGGCGGCGATGTCCTGCCTGCTGCGACTGTTGAGCGCGCAGCAGCAGCAGCAGCAGCAGCCGCGGCAGCAGCAGCCGTGGCAGCAGCAGCAGCAGCAGCAGCAGCAGCAGCAACAGCAGCAGCAGCAGCAGCCGCAGCAGCCGCCCCGGCAGCAGCAGCAGCGGCAGCAGCAGCAGCAGCAGCAGCAGCAGCAGCAGCAGCAACAACGGTCAAATTTACAACGGCCTGGGAATCCAGCTGCTCTCTGCTGTGCAGTGTGCGGCAAGACCGCCGAAGCTGACGGCGTGCGGTTGAAGCTGTGTGCGGGCTGCAGGGCGGCGCGCTTCTGCTCCGACGCATGCTACAAGGCGGGGTGGAGGGGCGGCCACAAGCAGCAGTGCCTGGCAGCGCAGGCGGCTGCCCAGCAGCAGCAGCAGCAGCAGCAGCAGCAGCAGCAGCAGCAGCAGGGGGCTGGAGGCCAGCCAGAGGAAGCAGCGTCAACCAGCCATAGCTAGCTGCATTGTTGGACAATTTCTCTCTGGGATGCACAGCAGCACAACAGTTGCTGAGCCACCTTTGCCTTTTTCATTCTTGCATGTGCACACCAGATGCAGTCCTTGTACCACCTGTATAAAGGGTCAACATCATATTGCTGGTCACTTGACCCGTTTGATATGAATCCTGCCACCTACTTTGCAGCTGACAGCGACAGATGTCTTACTCAAAAGCACCCATAGGAATTGCATCAACATGGCCCAAATTTAACTGACCTCACGCTGCCCAGGGGCTGTAGCTGCAGGCCAGCCTGAAACCACAGGCCCACTGGGGCTGGGCGAGCCAGATCACGCTGGGCTAAGCCTGGTCTGCGGTGCTTAGCCGGCCCTCCCTCGGCGCCATGAACACACCCATCAGAAGGCAGCGTGGTGTACACGACCCGCGCCAAGCCAGCAAACGTACACACAAAAAATCCTCAAGCAAAGCTTTGACAATCGCGAGTCTGCAGCAACAATCCTGTGTTCCCCAGCCAGCATCATGCCATTTTGGACCCCCCCCTTGGTTCTGCAGTATGATCCCTGGGATTGTCAACTTCAACAGCTGGACTCAAAGATGGAACTTGCCCTGGTGGATCACGGCCGTAGCTGCATCCCCCGCTCGCCGCCGGCGCATCTATGTGTGAAAAGCAACATACAGCAAGTGAGGCGCGGGGGTGCATGCTACTACGGTCTTGTGTGCATGCGCCGGCTTGCTTGGCACAAAAACAGGCTGCAACGCTCGCACATCGCATCTAAAGAAGCTGCTCCTTGCGCCTCCCACTGACGCCTGTGTGTGTGCGCCACGCTCTGCGCCAGTGCGCTCAAAGCCTCAAACCCTGGCGCTCGCTGCTGCGTGCCACACAAAACAGCACCGTTACAGCAGTGCCTAGAGGATAAATGTGCGTTCTGGTAGATGCGTGTTAGGTCGTCGTGCTGCAAACCATCGCTGCATCAGCCGCACCCTCCTGTTTTGGTATAGTATCATGCGTTCTCCAATCTGCAATGCGTGTTTGCAAGCAGAGTACTGTAGGGCAGCCTGGCGCCATCTGTAAGCTTTGGTTTGATTCCTTTCATGGCATTCAGTGCGCAGCTGTCCCAGGTGACGGGTGCCGAAGAAAACGCCTTGCGTGGTGAACACAACACACTGGGTTTGGCAGACCCTGCTGCCCATCAACCCCTCAACAATATTCAATCTGTGGGATTCGGGTGACGGGTTAATAAAAATGCCCTGCATTGGGGTCAAACATGGGCTTGTGGGGCGGCTCGCACGGTGAGGAGGAGACGTGTGCCCAGACGCAAGTTGACGCCGGAAGCGTGCGTGGCAGCTGCTGGGCAGGCCCCCTCAAATCGCCCCTGGTAAGCAAGCAGAGTTGTTGAGGGACTGCTAAGACCGGTGTGCTGGCCGGTGTGCTGTCCTAACGCAAGCCTGGGCAACAAGTCGATGCAAAATATCCTTTCAGATCCGGGGGATATATGCGGCTCCGCACCAAATGAGGCGCCATCACCAGCAGCTACAGAGCTCTCCACCACCGGCTCGCAGGCTGACATGAAGCGTTCAACCAGACATACATTCTCAGATAGATACAGGGAAGGGGCCACAGCAAGCTAGGTGGTGGCGAGGAATGAGGCATGCGCTTTCAAGCTGGATGTCAGCTGAGCAGTAGTAATGTCATGCAGCCGCGGCACCCACCTCGAGTGACACTGGCCCCGTTTCTATGGAGCCGAATCACTGAATCACCAAATCACTTGGAGTGGCAGGTGAAGCAAACAACTAGCTGGTGCCGAATTCGGTAACATAAGATCACAAAATCGCTTAATTGGTGGCTAACGCAGCACTCGCTGGTCGCTGATTGCACGCTGATTTGCATTTGATTCAGCTTGTGCTCGTTTCTGCACCCACGAAGTGATTGGGATTGCGCCTCAAGCTTAGGTCCTGCAGCCCCATTAACATGATAAGATAATATGACAGTATTGTATTTTGCTGCTTGTATATGGCCGTCAGGCCGCTGGTGCGATGATGACCTTTGCTGCAAGGCCCTGCTGCACACTGGAGGGCGCAGGGTGATTTGTGGGGCCCATATATAGGTTTGTCGATGTGATAACAAGCATTTCACGCGTTTCCAGGTGATTCACATCGACTCGCCTGCATTTTTGGGGGGCGAGTAAATTCATTCACTGATTCAAGTGATTCGCGGTGATTTGCGGTGATTTGGTTGATTTGAGGGATATGGAAACGGGTCATTGGTGATTCAAGCTTGATTAGCCAGTGATTCCACGGTGATTCAAGTCCATAGAAACGGGGCCACTGGTGCACACGGTTAACAGTCAAACCTGGCCTGGCTTTGTCACACCACAGCGAGGTTTAAAATGTCAGCGCCAGTGCGTTCGGCATTTGACAAGATCGTCGAGGCCTCAAGATGGGGCCGATACAAGAGGAAGACGTGCACAACCTGCTGGATCAGGTCGAGTCGTACAGTGCCACCCTCCGCGAACCTCGCCAACCCCAGCCCAAGAAGGACTTCAATGTCGCTCTCGGGGAGCCCAGCGACGCGCTGTCGCCCGGCTTGCTGCAGCGCCTGCTGCGGGTGACGTGCGAGCTTGAGCTGCATCACCAGGCGTCCCTGCTCATGCAAAGCCTCATGCCAGTCATCTACATGGAGCCAGAATGGCTGGAGCAGGTGCGGCCCCCGGATGGGGAATTTTGCAGCCGGCACTCGGGCCCGCTGCGCCGCCCCGTCGCCAACACACCAGCCACGGCCGTGTCACCCAAATCACGACTAAGCCCTGGCCCCCCGGCCCGCTCGGCACCCCTCCTTTTTGCAGCTGGCCACCCTGCCCGGCTACGGCGCAGCGCTCTCATATGTGCTGCGCAGGTGGGGCCATGACGGCCACATCAATTCTGACACGTGTCACCTGATCGCAGAGGTACTGCTCAAGCAGGCGAACGAGGGCGCCGCGCGCGCCTTTGCAGAGGGGCTACTGGCAGACCCGGATGCCCTCGCAGGCGGCCTGCTGGCGGCCGCGTTCCCTGGAGCGGCCGGCGGGCCGGCGCCGCAGGGAGGGGCGCATATTCTCAGCGATGCGAGGGCCGTCTCATCGCTGGGGCGCGCGATGCAGCTGTGCTGCGGCAGCGCGGGCGCCGCGCAGCTGGCTGCCTGCTGTGCGGCGTCGCCCAGCGCGGTGGCGCACGCGGCGCGGCACGTGGTGCAGCGCAGCAGCGGCAGCGGCGGCAGCAGCGCCACCGCAGGTGGCACCAGTGCGCACGGCTCTTCTGCCACGTTGTCTCGGGCCGTTGCATTCCTGCGGCACACAATCAATGGGTGCGCCAGCGACGCGCAGGCCAATGTCTGCGCGCAGCTGTCCGCCACCCCTGGGTTCTACGCGGCGGCCGGTGCCCTCCTCGCGGACCCGGCCGACGCGCATCGCCAGTTTGACTGCCTCGCGCTCCTGCACGGCATCACCACCGCGCTGCCGTACCAGCCGAGCACCGCCGCCGCCGCGGAGGCGGTCGCGGCGCCCGGCGCGCTGCCCGCGCTTGTGCGGCTGCTGGACAGCGCCGAGCCGCAGGCGAGGCTGGCTGCTTCTGTCCTGCTGTACTGCGCCATGTCAGCGGCCTCGGGCAGCGGTGCTGCCCTGACCCGCCCGCCTGTCGTTGCGGCGCTCGTGGCGCTGCTGCGGCGCGAGGGGGCCGGCGGCTGCCCGCGCGGGCCGCACGCAATCTGCCTGGCCTGCACTTGCGCGTGCAGCTTCCTTGATTTGGTTGCCTGCTACAACGACAGCGACTGGGCGTGCACGTTGGCGCGCCTCTTGGCGTCGGCGCCGGCTGCCCTGGGAGCGATGTCGCAGCAAATCGCTGTGCAGGCGCGGCTCTGCCCCGATGAGTTGCAGCTGGACGTGCTCCCCAGGCTGCTCTGCACCATATGCTGCGAGCCGGCGCGGCAGGGGCGGGGCGAGCTGCTGCGCAGCATTGCGGCCGCCCCCGGCCTTCTGGCCGCGGCCGCCCAGGCCCTGGAGGCCATGCTCGCGGCCGGCTCGCCCTTTCACCAGCACAGCCTTGGGCAGCCGCTGCGCGCATGCCTGGCGGCGTCCCTGTGCTGCCTCGTTGGGGGCGTAGCTTTGTTCAGCCCGGGAGCGGCCCGCGAAGCGAGGACGGACGCAGGCGAGGCGGCGGCGACGGCGGCGGCGGCCGCAGCCGTGCGGGCGGGGGCACCTGGGCTGGTGGGCGCACTTCAGGCGAGGGCGCGGCGCGCACGGTCGCCGGCGCTGCCCGCATTGGGGATTTCTCTGACTTTTCTGTATCACATGCATCCAGGGTTTGCTGCCACAGATGAGGCGGCGATGTCATGCCTGCTGCGGCTGTTGACCCACCAACAGCAGCAGCAGTCACAGGAGCAACAGGAGATGATGCACACACATCAGCCTCAGCATGCACAGCAACAGCAGACTCACGCACAACAGCAGCAGCAGAGACAGCAACAGCAGCAGGAGCAGGGACAGCAGCAGCACGATCACCAGCAGCAGCAACAGGAGCAACAGCAGCAGCAGCAGGGACAGCAGCAGTAGCAGGGACAGCAGCAGGAGCACGGACAGCAGCGGCACAATCACCAGCAGCAGAGACAGCAACAGCAGCCGCAACAGCAGCACCAGCAGCACCAGCAGCACCAGCAGCACCAGCAGCACCAGCAGCCACTGGCAAAGTCAGGGCAGCCTGCAAACCCAGCTGTTCTTTGCTGTGCAGTGTGCGGCAAGACCGCCGAAGCTGACGGCGTGCGGTTGAAGCTCTGTGCGGGCTGCAGGGCGGCGCGCTTCTGCTCCGACGCCTGCTACAAGGCGGGGTGGAGGGGCGGCCACAAGCAGCAGTGCCTGGCGTCGCAGGCGGCGGCCCAGCAGCAGCAGCAGCAGCAGCAGCAGCAGCAGCAGCAGCAGGCGGCTGGTGGCCGGCCAGAGGCAGCAGCGTCAACCGGCCATAGCTAGCTGCCGTGTGTAACAATGACGCTTCCTAAGGGATAAAACCCCAGCGCTCAGCAGCACACCAATTGCGGAGTCTTCATTGTAGTACTTGTCATTGCACGTCCACGCTACATACACCTGTGAGGGTCAACATCATATCGCTGGTGACTTGGCCCGTTGACATGAATCCTGCCAGCTGCTTTCCAGCTGAGAGCAACAGAAGTCTTACGCAACAACGCCCACAGAAATTACATCAGCCCAAATGCGGGTGACCCCATGCTGCGCAGTGCTGGTGGATGCAGGCCAGCCTGAAAACACAGGAACAGGGGACCTCAGCGAATTGTGATCGATACGCTCGGCTGCTACGGTTGGCGGACCATCGCTCAGCGTCAAACACACCCTACAGTATGGGAGGCAGCGCGGTGGACACGGCGCAAACCAAGCCACCAATTGTACACCCACTGTGATGCTCAATCAAAGGTTTATCATTTGTGAGTCTGCAGCAACAATCTTGGCATTCCGAGCAGCCAGCATCAGTGCCATCCAGGATGGCCCCTGGCACCTCTGGATCATCAACATCAACCTCGGGATCATCAACATCATTAGCTGGACGCAAGGATGGAACTGGGCCCCAGCGGTTCATGGCCGCGGCTGCACGCATGCCGCGCTCACCGCTGGCATATGTTTGCATACAAATCGCAAGGGTGGCACGGGGCTGCCCCACAGGTGTGCCGCCTTCCCCGGATTCTGGGGTGTTGCGTGGAAGGCACTGGCCTCGCAACCGCAGGGACTCACAGCTCCAGGCAAGCCATACGAAAAGCTGCCGCGGCCAAAATCACGCAAATCATTTGGCACCCGCCAGCTTCCCTTTGGCTTCCCACCACGCGGGCTCCTGCAGCCGCAGAGGCAGCAGCAGGCACCCGCACAGGCAAAACCCCCAAGCTAAAGCGCTCCAACCGCAGCGCTGCGGGCGGGTTTTGGAGTGCCACAGCGGATGGCCCAGCTGTTCAAATCCCTCGGAAGAATGACACAAGGGACAGGATCAATCGACATCCTCCAGTTTCCCGTTCCTCTGCACAGGCGGCCCCCCGCCC